TCGTTTGCAGCTGGGGAAAGCAGTTTGACGGTGAATATGAGATCACAGACACGAAAGGGCTAGGGAGAAAGCGGAAAAATTGACGGACGTTAGAGACGTTAATTGCAATAGCGCTACAAAAGTATCGGCGATATACAGTCCGCGAACTGTCCGGCATGTTTGATGATTGCATCGGGTCTACTGTTTCAGTTCTAAGAAAATTATTGAATAGGGGGAATTTGTTTTAAACATTATTTTATTAGAAATATATATGTGTGTATGTTATCATTGAATAAATTTGATAATGATACGCGGTAATTATTGGTATCAATTTTTCTCGATTTCGTTTAAAAACCGTTTAATAAATTGATAGCCTGAGCTCAGAAGAAGAGAATATTTTTCAATTAATAAGCATTTTTAATTTACTGCACATCATATTGTTTTAAGAATGTAAGATGGCATGTGTAAATAAATAATATAAATCACTTTGTCATTTACATTATATGTCCATGCCCGTTTAGCTACCAGAATACTCAAAATCACGAGATAAAACCGAAAGTTGCCAGCCACCGGGCATGTTTCGAATAAAGAAATGAAAATGTGATTGCTTTTTTTTCGCTACATCTCCATAGATGAGTTCTGGTTATAGTTACATGATTCAAGCACCTAGAACAATGTGAAGAAGAATTTCAGAAAGAATGACGCTGTTTACATTTTGAATTTATTTGAATTTATTTTGCGACGTGATGAACGTCATTTATTTAACTATTAGCATGCGCCGGGTCGCGTACCCCTTGTCATTTGTAAGTTGTACAGAATTGTTGTTTTTAAACATATTGTATTGATTTTTTTCACTGTATATAGAGGACAAGTTCCGATATTCGATTTTTGTAAACTCGTGTACGTAGATGAAAAAATGTGAACAGTAGAGCTGCAGTCCTATTACTTTTTGAACAACCCTCGTACACACAATTTAATTATTAGCATTTGAAGTACAATACAAACAAAACAAAAAACAAACATGGGCAATGAATCGTTTTGGAATTTTACAAATCGTGAATACCGAAGCTGTCATTTCCATTAAATCTGTTTGATGAAGTTTTCATGTTGCCAAGTGTATTAGATAACAATTAAGATAACTTGAAAATATCTTGTATAAGTCCTTGTGTTTGACATTGTATTAAACAAACTGATTTTTTTACGAAAGATCGGATTTGTCATATTCAGTGCATACTTAATTTTGTTCACGGATCAAAAAGCTCTTTCCGACTTGTGAAGACATAACAACTTGATCTTTATTAAGTAATCTGATATTTAATAAAGAACTTAAACGATGCCAATTGTAACGTGTGCATTACTTTAAAGCTTTTGAACCGTTGACTAAATCACCAGTTGTTTTCTCGTATGGGGCAATATTTCTCTTTTTCTCTTTTTTTGCGGATATATAATTATGCGCTAGTTTATATAAATGCAGAGGTCATTTAAGATGTACATCTGCAGGTTAAGCCAGTTGCATAACAGGCAATATGATTAGTATCCATTAAAGTAACTTAATAATACGAAACTACGTTTCTTTTCTCAAATTTAAGTTGTTGAATTCTCAAAACAACAAGAAGAAGTAACCGAAATATTGGCATGCACGAATTCAAGGTAACAGCGATAAAATAGCTTTCATTTACACTGCCTCTACTCAAATAGCTGCACAATAGTATATAGTGTTATCGGCTTTTAATGTTCCCATGGTACCTATTTTATTTTTAATGCAAATATTGAAATGTTATCTCTTAAGAGTTCATACGTAATAATAACATGCTTTAATGTTTAGAATTTTTCTGACTTGATATTAGTTGTGTTCCTTTTCCTCTTATATATTGAAGTAACTGCGTTGATATTTGTTTGTTGACATAAACTTATATAACGGCAATACAGGTTTGCGTTATATTTTGTGAAGAATAATTAAATAGCATTATTAATCGGCCATTAAATGTTCATTTATGTGATTTATTCCAATGTCATGAATAAATTATAACAAGAAAGAATCTGAAGATTGCTCAGCTGATATCTTAACGTCTACAAATTGCACTTCTGTGACACCAGGACAAATTTGTTCAATACATATATGAACAGATATGATAAAACATGTATGATTTGTTGCCAAAAAATACATCAGTCTTGTAAAATGTTCAAAATTCGTAAACGGGAAAACAATTTTAAATGGTAAAAGTCAATACAGTCAGAGATGAAGTGAATAAACTAAACCTTCTTAGTTAGGAATACCCTATACATAGTGGTATTTCTTGTGTTACAATTTCCTTTAAAACCTAGCATTTCATTATAAACGCTACTCAAGAAGTAGGGATGAAAATGAACGGTTTACAATTGTATCAAACAAAAGCGATAAACATAGACAAATAAGTTGTGTGCAAAATTTCACATCATTCGCTCAGTCCGTTTTTTCACAATGATTATTTTAATTCTGAAACATGACTGTAATAACGCTGGCTACGAATAGCACAAAAATACGATTTTCATTTCATTTTTAGAATGTTTCTCAATTGTCTTTTCATAATCTTTTGGTTTTAAATACAACAACAGATATATTTAAGAAATACAAATGATATGTTTTAGGGTTTAAGACCTCAGTGGCGGGGTTTCCTTTACCATTGTTTATATTTATCTATGTAAGATTTTTAGCATCTGTTTATTATAACGAGCAGAAGAAGTTCAGCGACAATGTTGATTTAGTGTTTATTGTACTGCAATTGTTAATCAATAACTGTTCTTTCTTTTCATATCACAACTCTAGTTTGTAAGTTTTATCTTAAAACATTACGAACATATTGGCGTACTTGTATCGTGTAGATATTATTTCAATATCTCGAACTTAAATCTAAATCTGATATAATTTATTAAGCAACAGGATAAAGTTTTGTGTATGCTTCATGGCCTTTTAAACGTAATGATTCTGAATGAAATAAACTTTGAAAAAAATGTTTTCTTTATTATACATGTAAGCTTTGAAAAGAGACAAAAAAAGATTTAGATATTTAAAGAAGCAATATAATTGAGGTTATAATTTGATTACTTTTTTCTGTTTTAATTGTTTAGATAGAATTAATTCGTCTTATTTTGCTGCAGTCTATAAGTAAATGGAGTTGTACATGATTCAATAAAATACAATCCATCCCTAGTTATGTCCCTAGAGAGCAATGCTGAATAATTTATCAGACATTATACGCTAACATAATTGACATGTATCAAAATTCAATAAATCACATGTAGTCTTACTTGTCATGTTATTAACGTGACATAATTATCTTGAAGTAGAAGCAGTTCAAAGACAAATAATTATGTACATTTGGCTTGTCCTGAATGAGGTAAAACATTGATCAGTCTTTATTTCTTCTATTTTTTAAATAAATATACCAATCGAAATAGTTATGGAGCAGTTTGAAAGATAAATGTACTTTTATACGGAAGTATACTGACCACCTTAATATTTATTCAAAATGAGCTTCAGTATAATTGACGTAAGTTATATAAGTCTTACATATATTGAAACATGATAAATCTATCAGATATTTATAAATTCATTTATTACTCAACGTAAAGTAATGTATCTTTTGAACGGTTTGAAGTCCGTGTTTCAAGCGTTTATTTTTGGTTGTGCTAATTTTAAGTTAAATTTCATACTTCGTATTATTTAAATTTGCGAAATTAATTATGAATTTCAGTTATAATATATTGAATATAATATTTAATAACAGCACTTTATTGGTTAGAAGAATATAGTCTGCCAAAATAATTAACATGTTACTGTTTATTATCTGCACCAAAAATGTAACGCGAATTACAAATGTGAGTATTATAGTTCTCAGTTCGCAGGTTGTATGAATAGAGTTTTCAATATCATGGGTGCCGTGTACAGCGTGACGTTTGTGATCTGCAAGAGGCAAACCGATACAGAAAAGGTCCAGAATTTATTGTGCTGATAATCTTTTTAAATAAGAAAATCAGAAATGAATGTGTTAATCACAGATTAAGCATGCTCGTAATTTATTCTATAAAATAATATTCAAAATATGAAATAAAATGATTGCTCGTTATTTGATTATTAGCATAGCCAAAAATCACGTAGGTAAGACGCAGTGAATCATGTCAGATGTATTCTTCTTATATGTGCATGAATTTACTTAATGCTATGAAACATTGAGCAAACATTTGTAGCACTGGTGTCAATGCGTTTCTTTGAAAGCTTATATATAATTAAGTTAGAAGAAGCTTTAAGATACATGCAAGGCATAGTATATATTCTTTTCCAAGATAACAGATCTTCCATGTATTTGTATTTTGTTTGTTTTGTGACAAATATATTTCAAGAATATTATATATCAAATGAGACTTTCAGTAAATACTTACTATTGGTTAATTTGAACTAGAAGCAAAACAAGAGTAGTGCTCTTAGATATTCAAGATTATAAAACAAGTGTGTTACATGCTGGTGCGCATGGGAGGCGAGTTAGTCAGTAACTGAAAGTTGTTTCAAGTATATATCACTATGAACATCTTCTTCTTTTATTTACTCAGGAATTATCAATATAATTGGCATGTAAGAATAAGCATAGAAAGATTGACCTGATATTTCGATGGTATGTACGAATTTTACGAAAAATCTTGAAAATGAACTTGTATGCATAAAGTCATACAGGGGTCAATGGGAATTACGAAAAACACTTGAAATGTTGCTTCAAGAGTTCAATATTTGCCAGGCTTGTCAGCAAATTCAAAGAATATATGTAAGCAAATGTAGCATACGTCTAACATACCGCGACGCAAACACAAAAGAACCGCTTATGACTACAGAATTCCCCGACAGACCTTACCAAAAAATAGCAGCAGACCTGTTCCATTTTCAAGGTAAAGAGTATCTATTGACTATTGATTATTATTCAAGATTTTTTGAAATAGACCATTTACAAAACACAACATCAAAAACAGTCATTCTGAAACTTCAGAAACACATGTCGAGACTGTCAATACCTGAAGTCTTTGTCTCAGACAATGGTACTCAATTTTCAAGCTCCCATTTCAAAGAATTCGCTAAAGAGTGGGGTTTCGAGCACAGAACTTCATCCCCCGGATACCCCCAGTCGAACGGTCTTGCGGAAAAAGGCGTAGGTATCGCCAAAAAACTAATGCAAAAGGCTAAAGATACAAACACAAACATTAACATTGCATTACTAGAATATCGTAATACACCTCTTGAATGCGGATATTCTCCGAGTCAACTGTTAATCGGCCGGAGAACTAAATCCGTTGTGCCAGTTACAAATAAAGCACTGGTACTCATTTTAGTAAATAACCCAAAAGTGCGCAGTCTAATGAAAAAATCGAAAGACAAACAAAAGGTCAATTACGACAAAAATGCCAAATATTTGCCACCTTTGTCCTTGAATCAATCAGTACGCATTAAAAAAAAAGAAAAAATTGGAAACGCGGGAAAATAGTAAAAGTACATAGTGACCGCTCCTATCATATACAACTTGCTGACGGCAGCATATATCGGAGAAATCGGTCAGTATTACGCAAAAGTCCGGAAGATACAACCGATATTGAATCATTTCATGCACAAGTCTTATATCATGATACAAATTCAAGTACCCCTGAATTACCTCTTGAGGAAAATAACTCATCTCAGGAACAAAAGTGACCCGCCGATGAACTCGCGTGCTAGAACAAGGGCTGGACGATTGTTGCGTGGCAATCCGAAGTATGATAATAATGAATGGGTTAGATAATAACAGTTATTGAAAATAATGAGTTTAAAGTATTTTGTTATCACAGTAATATATCGTGACTATCTGAAAAAAATAAGAACAAACTATGATCCGTTAGAGAAAATTAATAAACATTTCAACGATATTACTGATTAGCTTGATATTATTTCTTAATGAGATGTCCAGAAAATTATACGTATTGTATAATTGCACTAAAGAGACAACAGAGTACTTCTTATATTCCAAGATTTCATACCAAGGTGAGTTACATGTAGATGCTATGGGGCGGAGGCTTATGCATAAACTAAAGTTGTTTCATATTATAGCAATATAAGAACATGTCTTGTGTCCTTTGGCATATAACTTATAATCAAGTACTATCTTATATCTATTGTTAAGGATATTTACACTGGTGTGTAGTTCATTCTGGAATTCTAGTTCGACGTTACACGACTTGTCAGATCTATATTGAGACGAGGAGCTACGTGTATGATACTGTGCTTTTTGTGTGTGTAAGAGTCCAATAGAATAAGCGTTGTTCTCAATAATATAGTTTGAGCTCTTCAATTATATATTTTTATAGAATTTTGTTACTTAAAATGTAATAAGGTATTAATTAATTGTTGACCCTAAAAGTAAAAATAAGGCTAGACAAATAACTGTTTGCATTTGATATAGATATTTAGACATTGAAATGAAAACGATGCTGTATGGGATTCAATATGGATTTGATGAAGTTTTTGGACTCTGAAATTGGGAACGCGGTTAAAGTGATAAGATAAGATCGATATTGATGTTTACTGGAACATCACATGGTTCAAATGCTGAAAGTTCATCGGTCATATCTTATTAGGCGTTTTATAAATAATATAATTATTTTTCTGATTGTTTAACTTGTTGCGGTTTTAAAACGAAATACAATACATATACATATCATAAAAGTATACAGTCAAATAGACTGACTAGTGTATTACGATGTTCACTAAAATGACCGTTCAACAGCTCATTTAGAGCCAACGCTATCGTCTTCGGTTACTTATGATGCAGATACGTTTATTTTTTTTTTATTGTTATTAATTTCCAATAATTCCATATAAAATAATTATTGTGCTCGCGTGCATAGCTCAGACAAGCATACTTTACGGCAACAGTTGCCAGTAAAATTATTGTGTTGTTGTTGATGGTGCAATATATAGAATCATCCCTGTCCATACTTCTTTAACCTCAATGTATGACAATGATGCATGGGGCTATAAATGATTTATTATTTTTCTATAAAAATAAAGCACGGTGGTACAAACTATAGGCATTTGATTGGTTGGTTCAGGGTTAACAAGTTACCTATTGCTCCACTATTGAAACTTTTAGTCACCTCTGGGAACCCCCTATACGTGCGTATATACAGGCCTGTGAATAACTGACGTAACGAAATTTAGGTGCAACGGCAAATTATTATTATTATAGTCTAGATATATCATCGCAAGGAAGAATGAAACCTTAATTAATAATGAAAATAAAAGCAGCGGCACTACTGTCGAACAGAAATACATTGGCACCAGGTTAAAAAAATTTGAACTAAAAACATTATGATCTTTACATAAACTATTTTCAGATCAAATAATTTTTAGTTACCAAAATTTTAAGCATGTTCAGAAATTTTCAACGTTCTCACTCAACGTATGATCAATGATCTCTAAGTTCAGTTACTGAACAACCTACTAGTAAGGTGAGCTTAAAATGCCCAATGTAGAAGTGAGAAAAAAAAAACGTATATGTATGTTATATGTACTTATTTCATGTTAGAACATGCCATATAAGTAAACTATACGTTAATATATTCTTACGATATGTAACAATTTGCTGTATAGGTTTAACCTTTATTACGCTATTGGTAATTTTGTTTAAAGGCACATTATGCCTCAAAAAAGAATAAATGCTTATTTCTTTAGAAAAGGCATTCGTGTATATGAATTGAATAATGCTTAAATAATGGTTGTGAAACTATTAGATTCTTTTTGCTTGGGAAAAGCAGAGCTAAATGTGAGTTGATTTGTAATACAGGTAGCAAAATGTAAACAAAGTAGTATTTTGACTTCCATACAGAATACAAAATCACTACAACTGCACAATTTGCAAAAAGCAACAGAGCAAAAAAATGGTTCAGGCCATTGGTAAATAACTAACTATTTGGAAACTGAAGTACATGTATACTAAAAATAAAAGACCTTTGGGAAATAAAGTAAGAGCGGTAAAGACATAAGCTAAAAGCAAAGTAAAGCATACAGCGCCTTTAATTACTTTGTTAAACGCTCAATCATTGCGAAAAATATTTCATTTTACATATATGTCATTCTTGTTATGTTTTTCCAGAGGTCATTTCTGAAGTGTGCTGAAATGACGCCATTGAAAACACGCGACTTATCTGTCACCCCCATATTAGTTTTACGGAAACACCTGGCATGTATTTGCGGTTCAGATCGAAATATCTGTCTCTTTGATACCTGCCCATTACCTGCAACTCGGCAAGCCCAAATAGTGGGTAACCTCGCGACGGATATTCTTATCCGAACTGCAACATATGACATATTATTATCATGACTAAGTCCTACTTAAAAGGGTAATGTTTCCTAGTTTTTAATACATGTAACTCCTTAACCACAGACGGCAAGGTTCGATCCTCGGGAGATACTTTGGTAGTTTAGCGCGGAGGAAGGTAGTCTAGTACTGGTGTAACTCTCCAGGAACGATGGTTAGAAACTACCCGCCTTTTTTTCTTTGGCCATAATGTTTATCATGACACGAACCAAAGAGATTCAACATATGTAAATTACTAACAGCAATGGCATATTTGTAATGATCAAACAAAATGGCAACCACTTGCAAACACAAATTTTTCAATTCCATTGTCTTTTTCATAACATGCAGCTTGATTAGAGGGACTGACGTGAATCTTAGCTTTGTAATTATGGGAAAAGTGGAAAACGAATAAAATTCTTTCATTGTTTTATAACATCTTTATTACATCTAAATATAATTAACAAGACTTTAACATCGAAATGAAATCAAATTACGAAATAAGTATCACAATTATCATTTATGATTATCATCTACGGTAATATCACATAATGATATAAACAATACAAAAATTATCACAGAGTCATGTTATTACGAAACTGTAAAAAGTTAAAAACTTTTGTCAAACGTTTAAAGTAAAAGTTATAGACGATAAAATATTTGATCAATACTTTTACATGTTATGTATCATGTATGTACCTTTGAACATGTTTTTAAAGAACACATAGACATTAGTTTTATGTGTTGAAAAGGATGTGTCATTTTTGATTCTGCAAAAATGGATCTACTTAGCGTTCATGCGTAAATATAAGTTTTTAAAAATGTTAGCATAAATACCGATAGCTATTTGTTCTAAAAGTCATTTTGTTAGTTGTATATGGTAAAAAAATAAAAACATAAATAATGTCTAGAAACAAAATTACAAAGAAATACTCTAAAAAATCTAAAAAAAAGGCTACTTGTGTATTATGTATATCAGAGTGTTATAATGATATAAAAGCCAACCAGTCAAGCAAAGGGTCATCCATTTTAGATATAATAACATTAACATATTTTAACAATTTTTTGTTATTTGTTAATTCATTTAAAGTATTATCTTACAATTACAATCTCAAGATTAAAAAATAAAATGAAAGCATCTTTATGCTCATATTATCAAATTCACTGAATCATCACTTGAATGTAATTAGACCAGGAAATTCATAATGTTTACAACATAAACTCTGATTTAGCTTCAATATATTGATTTTGGGATAAATATCCTCATGTATCAATTAATTAAAGATGAACAAAACAATTCTTGGAGTCTTAAAAGTGATATCTAGTTCCTGATAAATCTTGTTAACTTTATAGGCTGTAGACAAAAAATAAACATGATAAATTACAAAGTAAAACTAAGCAATGTGTCTGAATAGACACGGGATGTTCCCCGCTATATATGTAAAGGATAACAAAATTTATGATAAGACAAAGTAAAGTATTGTCAAATCATTGAATGTCACAATTGCTAACAAGGACTCATAATGCTTAACACATTTGCCAATCTGGACTATTAGTAGACTGGGATAAAGATTTTCTAGCCTTTATGTTTCTAGATAGTGATCTTTGGCCATAGAACCTACGGTCGTATGTTCTAATATGCAATTGTACCAGCTATCTCGATGACCTTAACAAATGCGCAACATTTTTCAAAATCCCTTGATCATGTATCACGATGGTGATACTATTTACGAAAAAGATATTTCAAAATCATTACGAACAATGACAAAGAATATATGGCATGGCACAGATTCTAACAGCTGACTTGATCTGAAGCAGTGACATATATACATTGGACAAAAGTTCTAGGTCTTAACGCATTACCACACCACTCCTTTCTAAGTTATATAATCCCTAAGATTAAGTGCTAACCCTTCCATTGGAGGTGAAGTTATTGCTTGTACAACGTCAGCATACGCGATTACTCATCATCAGAATTTGTGCAAAATTTG